TAAGACCCGTGAAGATTCCGGAGTGGAATAGATCTTCAGCAACCCATGCTTGCCGTAAAAGGCGACTAACGGGATCGGGTGGTCAGGCTCACTGACTTGGTTGATACATGTCATCGTATCCCAATTGCGTAGATCGATGCTCATGATGTCAATCACTGGATTATCTGGTCCAGCCTCGATTATTTTACACACCGCCGCCATATAGCTGGAATATTGCTGAGTGCGGCGTAAAACAACAAACAAACAAATAAACAAACAAACATAATATCAAAATGTTGACATCTTTAGTGTCTACCGTGTTGATGTTTAATCTAGTGAGGAGAAGGTTATATTATATAGAGAGGTGAGATACAGTGCTGTGTTCGCGTCGCTATATTCTAAATCAAGACTTCATGAGCGTCTTCGTTTTTCTCCCCGGCATATAACAGCGTAAACATCCATGTTTATCCTTTACCGTAATGTGTAAAATTGACCCCGGACCTCCGCTTGGACCACAAGGTTGCCATACCGCCCTCTCACTAAGTGACGATGGCCAAGTCACAGCTGTGTTGATATGGTGTACCCCTTCTTAAAGACGTGCTCAGTTGTTCAAGGTTGGGTCACCCATTGCAAGCCTCTTACCCACAGGCACACGTCCTTCTTTAAAACAAGTCAGAATATCGGGCCCTGTACCTCAGGCTTGTAGAACCCTGGAGGCACTGGTGGCCCAGTCGTCTAAGGCGCCGCGATTCGCTGCGCAGAGTTGCGTCCCTTGGGCACGCCAGAAACCTATGTTTGTTGGTTCGAATCCCGGTTCGCCCAGATTGTTTCTAGGTTTGTCAGCACCATACCCGTGCTCGTGGGTTTCACCGAAGTGGTAAACGTCTGAGACCTGCATGACTTCGGGCTTTCTTCCCACATTAAGCTAACACGCCGTGATATAACTGGAATACTGTTAAAAGCGGCGTTAATCCCAACTCACTCACTCACTCACTCACTTTTAGAGCCTCAATTGGGAATCGGACTATTCTACACTACTCTACACTACTAGTGATATGTTTTTTATAGAATGTAACCTGACTGCTATAACAAATCCCAGCACCAATTTTTTTAAATTGTTAATAAACAAATTAACAACAAATTAATTCGTCCCAGTGATATACAGCCGCGCCATATCACACCTTGCGCGTGTAACCAAAGAGACACGTGTCAATTCGACCCGGCTTCTGACATAATGCAAACAATATCACATCATATCAATATGATATACATTTCATGTCTAAATAATAGTGCGGTGTCATATCCATATGGCCGAACCGATTGTTTACAGTACGGCTTAAACAAAACCCAAACCATCCTAAATCACGCCGTGATAAATCAAGATGGCGGCCACATACGAGCGTGTTTCGCACGTCGTGTAAATATCATGATCAATTATTCCACCTGGAGATGACTGGTGAGTTTGTGACGTCACAGACGCCGTCACGGCAGGCCGACACCATACATCATAATCTACGCGTTTATTGCTATAACTCATGAATTATATCGATGTTATATCAGACACAAATCGTCTCGTTTGTTTAGCGCCACGTGGTTATCCGTCCGATTGTGTTGAGAGCGAGAATACAAAATGTGTGGATATTTATTCGGAGTGTAACATATTAGGGTGGGAGGGGTGGGGGGAAGGGCTTGCTTGGGAGAGAGAGTGCGAGGAGGTCATTTACTGGAGAGGGGTAGATAAAGTTTGTTTGATTGAGAGAGGGAGAAATTATTTGCTTTTTAGAGAGGGAGGGAGGGAGGGAGGAATGAGTGGATGTGTCTCCTGGTGCGAACGAGTTGAAGGGGGTCATTTACAAAGTGAAGGGAAAAGTATTACCGTATTCGACATAATAAGCGTCCAGGGCGCTCTCAAAGTTAGAAATAGGGGGCTCTTATTACAATATTATTTTGGTGAAAAAAAACAGAGTTGAAAGATCGTGAATTTCGTGGTTTATGCTGACAGTCTGAAATGTTTATATACGACAGATATATCTTTTCCAGAATTTAATTTCCCATAATTAAGAATGCATATAACATACGTATTATACACGAATAAATAAGTCCTGTGTACATTGATCAATCGGAAGGGGTGCCAATTGGGATTGTTCACTAGCCAATATATTAGAAAATATCGCCGTGGGCGCTTATTAGGTCGAATACGGTAATATTGATTGCTTGACAGAGGATGAGGTAGATTATTTTCTTGAGACAGAAAGTTTAAGTGATTTGACATGACATTTCAATGTTACCATACACCGACATCTTGCAATGCAGGTATTAGTGCGAACGGGACCGCCTCCGTGGTCTAGTGGTAGAGCGTCCGTCCGGAGAGCGGAAGGTCCGGGGTTCGATCCCCAGCCGCCTCATACCAAGAGACGTTAAAAGATGGTACTGTGCTCGGCATTAAGGGGGTAAAACAAGGACTGGTCGGCTTTGAGTCAGTATACTGTGTCTGAGTGGGGTATCCATGTTAAACTGCGGCGTGGTATCTCAGTGGGCTAGCACTATAAATCGGCATCAGTCCGGACTAGTACAAGCAGCCACACACACACACACACACACACACGCACACACACACACACACACACACACACACACACGTGCATGCACGTCGCTATATAAGTGCAATAATCTTGGACGCGGCGTTAAACCCAATTTCACCTCACCTCACCTTTAACATATTGGTGCTGGAAAACCAAGATTATCATAATCAAGGCGATTCTGTGGCAGAATTCTAAGGATGCAACTCTGCACAGTGAATCGTAACCACTGAGGTGATTAGGTTTAGTTTGTACTAGAAAACTGGAAAATTTTAGCCGTAGACACTAATTTGTCCACACTTAGTTTCGGACTAGTTTAACGTGGTATTATGGGGACACACACACACACACACACAGGTGCATGCACGTCGCTATATAAGTGCAATAATCCTGGACGCGGCGTTAAACCCCATTTCACCTCACCTACTGCGAACTGATAACCACGGTTGGCAGATACCAGAACTTACTTTGGTTAGTTTTTCACTCTTACCCCTGGCTGTTTGTGATTATTTGCTGGAGACAGAATGCTGAGTTTTTCCGCCTCGAATTGTACTCAGTCCCATTTCCACACTCACATCGTGCTTACAGCATTCGTGAACCTGCCAGAACACGATCTCCCACTGAACGCCCCCATGAAGGCACTGGTGTATAACCAAGACTGCTGTTAACCCATCATCCACCGCCATTCCATAGCGTCTATATAATCATGTATTCATTAAGACGTGCGTAGTATATGTTTCCAACATGTAAGCTTGATTTATGACAATGAAAATGAATACAGTCCCAAACGCTGGGGCGGAAAGTTTATTGACCCATGAGTTTTTACTTCCGCTTCCGCCACCTGCGCACACACCTCCCGCGGATCGATCTCATGATTGAGGCGGTACGCAGTGATAGGCTTCTGAAATATACACGGCGTCGGGAAGTGTTTTAACAATGTAGCCTTTTAAGGCTACACATTTAAACCTGTAAACACTAAATTAAACAAAGCCACTTCTTCTCCTTCCTCACCATTTAGTCAGCTTCTACTCTATCCAAGTCCCAGCCCCGATTATCCATTATATTGTATAGGCAGCTTGGGTTGTATACTCCCCAGGAAGCTGAGAAAGCCATTTGATTGCACGCTTATACATTGATGCTGAAACAGTATTAATTGTAAATTTAAGAAATAATTGTGATTGAGTATATTTCTGACATTCTATAGAAGAGTCGACAGGGCTACCAAACCGTATTCCCTGGGGATAAGCCCTCATTTATAACATGTTCCGGGGAAGAAGATGTCACAAGTACCCTGTGCTTCTAGAGTCCGCCTGATGATGACCGGCTGGTTTTCAAGTGTGACCAGGTAGATTGTGTCACCATGACCTAGTAACGTGGCTCTTGCTGTCAATCACAAGCTGCCAGGTGCAAACTTGATCATTTACAGACCGGACCCGTGAAGATCCGGGGTAGAATAGATCTTCAGCAACCCATGATTGCCGAAAGAGGCGACCACGTTTGTCGTAAGAGGCGCATAACGGGATCACATTGTCAGGATCGCTGACTTGATTGATGCATGTCATCGATCCCAATTGAGTGGATCGATGCTTATGTCAATCACTGGATTGTCTGGTCCAGACTGGATCATTTACTGACCACTGTCGTATAACTCGAATATTGCTGAGTGCGGCGTCAAACAACAAGCACACACAAAATACAGGTGAAAAAATGCACTTCTACACTGAAGCCAGCTTGATCAAGTTTCCAGCTAATAAGCTGATTAGTTCAGTGGAGTGCTTTGCATATAACCAGAGCGCCGAGGATCAAGGGTGTCGATATCTACGTGCATCCTTGCAGGGTTTTCATGTCGCACGCGAGAAATGTTACAGACAGTTTATTTTGTATTTAGTTATACAGTCACTTAATTATTGTCAATCTTTATTACCGAAGGCGCAGCGGTTCGATGTGCCGACCTGCGTTCCAAAGACGTCAGAATCCTATGATTATGATTATGAATCTTGATTTGTCATCATCATACCCCTGCTCGTGGAGTTCATCTGCCCGGAAGTGGTCTAGTCTGCCCGGAAGTGGATGGTCGATGGTTCGATCCCCGGCCGTCGTTAACTGTCAGAATACTGTGTCTGAGTCGGGTATTCATGTTAAACTGCGGCATGGTATCTCAGTGGCCTAGCGCTATAAAACCGACACTAGTCTGGACAAGTTCAAGCGCGCACACAAACACACACACGTACGCACACGTGCATGCATTAATCTTGAACACGACGTTAAACCATTCCCCATCACATCATCCCTGCTCGTTGGCTTCGCCTAAGGGGTCAACATTTTGGACCAACCAAACCTCGTCTTTTTCCTCGCCCGTTAAGATGACGTCATGATATAATTGATTAACTGTGGTGTAAGCCCAGCTCCTCAAAATGTTAAATCGTATGCTATGTGTTGCAGGCAAGGTGAGCCCCGGCCCAGCCGCCTACAATCTCCAGACAACCATGGCAGGGGGACCAAGATACACCATGTCCAAGAGGCTCCCGAAATACACCACAGGTGAGGGTCGGGCACCTGCCCCAGGGGTGGCAGTGTGGGGTGGTGGGAGTCGGGTTAGAAGAGGTGGGGGGGGGGGGGGGGGGGGGGGGGGGGTATAGAAAGTTGAAAAGGGGTGGGTTGTGGGCAGTAGGAAGTGGGTGGAGGAGCGTCCGGGCCACCGATTGTTTACTGTATGAGAAAACAAAAACAAAAATATCATTAATCACGCCATGTGAAATTAAGCTGGCGGACATGTACAGGTGTGTTTAGCACGTCGTGTAAATATCATGATCAATTATTCCACCTGGAGATGACTGGTGCGTTTGTGACGTCACAGACGCCGTCACGGCTGGTCAACACCATACATCATACTCAACGCGTTTAATGATGTTTGTTTGTTTGTTGTTTAACGCCGCACTCAGCAATATTCTATATGACGGTGGTCCGTTAATAATCGAGTCTGGACTAGACAATCCAGTGACTGACATCATGAGCATCGACCCACGCAATTGGAATTCGATGACATGCATCAACCAAGTCAGCGAGCCTGACTCCCGATCCCGTTAGTCGCCTTTTACAACAAGCATGGTCGCCTCTTACCGCAAACATGGGTTGCTGAAGATCTAATCTAACCCGGATCTCCACAGGGGTTTGGTGATGTATTGGGCGTCAATTGAGAGAGGGGGGTGGGGGGGGGGGGGGTGTTATTATTTTTGTTTAGTGGATATCAGAAAGCAGGGATGATGGCTTTCACATAGTTCTGTTTTTAAGATCAGTGCTGAGATTTGAAATTAACTCAGAATCGACTCTCCAGAAAAGTACTTTCAAACAAAAAAACACACGTTTCTTCAGAGTTCAGATAGAACGTTGTACCTGGTGCATGTCACACCAGATGACAAGCCTGGGTCAGTGGGAGTTCACTTGCTCTGATGAACGGATTCATTCGTCACTACTCGCCCCTTTCCGTGACCTACAAGAAGACTCGTCCCCCTATCGATGAATGTTATGTGCGAAAATACGACAAACCAATCAGAATGCGCGTATGATTTCAAGTTCTTCGTCAAAGAATCCCTCAGAAATAATATTGGATTTTACGTATGTGTTGTATCTAAAAAAGACACAGTTAAATGTGTTCAAACATACTGTATAATTCCGCATGTCTAGATCTGCTTTAAATTGCATCTGAATTATATTATATAATATACGGGGAAATTTGTGTGAACCGTTACGCAACGAGTTGACAATTGTTTTAGGTATGCCCGTTTGCGCCAAGACGGAACCCGGTCGCAAAAATGGCCACGAGAGGGGCACGAGTCGCTATTTGGCTTGTCCCGGAATAACACGAGTTGGTCACGAATGGTCCCGGAATAACACGAGTTGATCACGAATGGAACGAATAGTATCGTTGACGAACCGCTAGCCGGACACAGGATGTTCTCCATTGCCGGGATACGCTTAAGGCTGAATGTAGACAAATTCAAGTTATTTCATGGCCTTAGGATCGCGGACAACTACGAATACCATTGAGTTCTAGTTCACATATAAATAAACGTCACGAATTAAAATAAATCGCGACGCAGACCGCCAGATGGGATTGGGAAAAATACATCCCTGACATGATAGTTGCAGCACGTGCGCAACCCGGAAGTACTGTGCGAACCTCTCACCCTCTCTTGCAACACCGGCGACACATGCCTACGTTGGTTAACTCAGAACTGCATTCTTTGACGTGAGGCTTTCTTCTTCAATTAGCGGGAAATGCACAACTGCTACATCTGATTTGTATCACGTGTACATTTGAAACGTGTTTTTCTGCGTCAGGTTTGTTTTAGGATAATCTTTCGGCCACTGCAAAAGAAAACGCCTGTTTTCGTGTGGGTGGGTGTATTTGTGGGTTGGGTTGAATGTGTGTGTGTGTGGGGGGGGGGGGGGGGGGGGGGGGGGGAGGGGGGGTGTTGAAGGTGAAGGTGTGTGTGAGGTTTTTTTGTGTGGGTGTCAGGTGGGGGTGTCTGACGATGTGGGAGTGGTTGTGTGTGGGGGTTAGGTGGAGGTGAGTATTTGTGGGGGTGGATGTCTGTGAAGGTATGTGTGTGGTTATGTTTGGATGTGGCGGAGTGTGGATGTACTCTGTGTGTTAGTGTTAGTGTGAACATTTATAACTAACGTCACATATTTACAGGACGACCACAGTGTCCAGCAAATTATTTTAACACTCTAACACACACACACAAACACACACACACACACACACACACACACACACACACACACACACACACACGGTCGGTCTCTAAAGAGGATCGGATGGTTACGATGTCAGACCTCTGAGGTAGGACGGCACTGTGCCCCGACCGCGTTAAACGTTGTTCATTTCATCAACCATGGTCTCCTTGGTCCTGACTCGAACATGCACAGACTGACGCGTTAAGCTGGAAAACAACAAATGACCACCCAAGACTATCTGAGAGAAAATCAATGGGAGAATTGCAGGCTTGAACCATTTTAATTTTAATTATAAACCATGTTATGTGGAGTTCACTCCACGAAGCCTACTTCCGTTAATTGAAACCACAGATTGAAACCCCAAAGTCCTTCCACTAGGAGATTGCTCATCCATTAGAGTACACGCAACCGAAGTCCGTCATCAAATGCATGTTGTGTTCCACGCCCACACCCAATGCTCGACCAGTGGATTTTACCCAAGGACGCAAAACAACCAAAGCAGTTTGTTATTATAAAAATATTTTAGTTATGAAATAACTGTCCCTCCCTTTCACGACCTTTCCATCAAATGTGTCATTTCCGTCCTCTGAATCCATCATGTTTTAGACGATCCCCTGTCCCCGCCGACGACAACGACAACGACAATGTTGACGGCAACATCGGCGACGCAGCCTAGTATTCACCATCCCTGCCACATCAGTCGTATCAATTCCTTCTTCTAATGAGCCCCGTAGAGCTAGCCCTCTACTTAACATTTAACTCAAGCACACCGATCAAATCTCGGGGGACGCCAAGAATTATCGTTTACATTGTCCCGGAGATATATTTGTTTAATAACCAGAGAACTAAACGATAACCATGGAGATAATCATAATTGAATTCAAATCGCTTTTTACAGCATAACTGACACGATCCAGGTTAATAGCCTCGGAGCTGGACTGATGTCACGTTACCGGAGACAGTGTAGGGCTTCGTCATCTTTAGTAATATACTACAGGAGATAAAACTAGCTTTGTTTGTTTAAGTGATACTACAGGGTAATGGACGGAACGTCCGTGTGTGTGCATAAGCCTCTAATATCACAAGTTTTATTGTCATGCGGAAATAATAATAAGGGAAACTATTCACGGACATGATATTTAGGGCTTTGATGAGAATCTGAATAGGTCAAAGTAGGCATTATAAGTGAGAATGAAGTGAATGGTAAATATATCATGATTAAATGAACACGGTGCAGACTTACATTTGTATTAAGTAACGAAATGCATCAAATGTATTTAGGTCCTTTTAAGTAGCAAAGACCATATTGGATGACAGCGTTTAGTATTTCCCATCGGGGTTCTGTCGCCAGAATGAGAGAAACGTCACGTAGGTGGATTTGAAGAGAGAACAAACGGGGTATTATACTTTTTACAGTTCCTTTCAGTGTGTTATTATTGGATTTCGTGATCTGGTTTCAATAATGGGTATTTCAGTAGCTTTGTTATTCGACACATCCTGTCTCGTGTTATATATGGTTCAGCGTGGAAGGGTAATAAACGCCGATTAGTGTTGGAGAGTTGTTAGGTAAGAGAAATGTCTGTAGAACCGTACCAACACATCCGAGTGTTCATGACGGAAACAAATACAAAAAATACACATCAGCTCGAAATCAAAGACGATGCTTTCTTGTGGTTCCGGAAAAATCTTATGGACACTTTGTTCTTATCTCGAACAACGAATTATTCGACATGCGTTCGACGGTCCACACGACTTCGAGTTAATGAAGTTTCACTGGACGAGAATTGATACGATTGTCTGTTCATACTGACATACTGTTCATACAACATAAATATTATTTAACTTGATGTGTTGTCATTATATGGACCCCAGAATTATGTTAATATTTTTTAATAATCGGATTTCAAATGTATGTCTCCCTATGCATTACTCCGATGCATTATTCCTCCTGCATATACTAGTACTAGAGGTGGGGTGAAATGGGGTTTAACGTCGCGTCCAACATTATTGCACTTATATAGCGACGTGTGTATATACTAGAAATAGTATTATAATAGCATTCGGTATATGTATAATTAGTTTTCAAGTATAGGAGTAGTATATGAACCAATGACGCGGCACTATTGAAAGACGACATCAAGATAACATGACACACGATGGTGACGTCACAGTGGGAACCTGACACACTGTTATCACGGCACATTGCTAGCGCAACAAAATGGTGTCTGGCCGTCTGTTTTTTTATTCACGCACTCAGCAATAGTCCAGCTATATGACGGCGGTCTGTATATAATCGAGTCTGGACCAGACAATCCAGTGACTGACATCATGAGCATCGATCCACGCAATTGGGACACGATAACATGCATCAACCAAGTCAGCGAGTCTGACCACCTGATCCCGTTACTCGCCTCTTCAACAAGCATAGTCGCCTTTGCTGGGTTGCTGAAGACCAGACCCGTGAAGATTCTTGGGTAGAATAGGTCTTCAGCAACCCATGCTTGCCGTAAAAGGTGACTATGCTTGTCGTAAAAGGCGACTAACGGGATCGGGTGGTCAGGCTCGCTGACTTGGTTGATGCATGTCATCGTGTCCCAATTGCGTGGATCGATGCTAAAGATGTCATCACTGGATTGTCTGGTCCAGACTCGATTATATACAGACCCCCGTCATATAGCTAGAATATTGCTGAGTGCGGCGTTAAACAACAAACCAAACAACCAACCAACTGAAGACCTATTCTACCCCAGATCTTCACTGTCCAACACAATGGTAACGGTGAAGTGGGAACATGACACAATTTATCACGCCACAATGCTAGCGCAACACGATTGTGGAGACACAGCGGGAATATGGGAATATGTCTTAAGTGAAATCGCCCCACAAAACTCACACTTCGTTACAAAAAACTGTTACATTGTGATCGTCATTGTATTTTTCAGGTGTCATCATCCCGGCCCCTAACGCCTACAGACCCCCCAGCGCTCAAACCTACAAGGGTCTGAGGACCAAACTAGGGTTGAAGCTAAAGAGCCGAGCAAGTCCGTTTGTATACTCGGGTTTCAAGACCAACAGGATAGTTGACCCCGTGGCATGACCCACCCACCCACGCGTCTGTTGTCATTGATTGTAGAGTATTTATTTGTCGTAGGCGTCCATCCATCCATCCTCCCTCAGACCGGCTCATTGATCCTCATCACTCCGACTTTACTCATTAGTATAAGAGGGTTCTACACCGGTTTTGTAATAGAGGATTATAGATATTTTATAGTGTATTGATTTATCTGTTTTGTTGTGATGGGATTAGTGTCAATGTGATTTTGAATTTGATGCTCCTGTAAACGTTTAACATTTACCTGTCCATTGAAATGATGAAGTTCTGTTTTGAGGTTGGTTATTTAAAGAGTATGGTCTATTAACGAGTTGACTTTGATGTTGTGACTGGAAATTTCTAGAGAGGTTACACAGAGGAGGAAATTGACCCTGTTAATGGAATGTGTTTTGATTAACTGGCTTTCAACAGTTTTCAGCGACATTAGTTCTGTCAGCTTCATGTGGGAGGAAAGGCCACAGTGATTAAAGAATGGAGATTATTTTACATGGGTAAAAGCCCCGAGTGTGGATGTTGACAAAGTGGTATAATCGGGGAGAATTTGGTATTCAGTACATCCTGGCATGACAAGGGGACATAACTCCCCACAGCGAGCTGTGGCACCACAGAGATCATTGAACCGCCATGGCCTATTTAACAGAGGCTGTGATTGGATGACACTTAACATGGCATCCAATGGTCCTCGGTATCGAACGAAACCAGTCAGCGGACTACCTGAAGTTTGTGTTGAAAAATTGCTCTCGCCATCAATTACATCAGCAGAGCAGATGATTTTAATCGTTATCGCCAGAACAACTTTCTAGGTGTAGACATATCTCCATCTTTATTCACAGTCGTAATTTAGAACGCTACGCACGCGCGCTTATAACAGGATATGGTACATTTATGGGCGCCGCCTGCAAAACAACAGTTCAACCTGGGTTCGAACCCACGACCATAGGTTCCTAGCATGCATAAGGGACCCAACTCCCCGCCGTTAATTGCCGCGCCTTAATCCACATGGCCACCCGTGCCTCCTCACTGCAAAGAGTATAAAGTCTTGAGTTGGTTTTGATATTTCAGTTGTATTCCGCTAAAGGTGTCGTTTACCACTTTTGTGATACTCGCTTGCATGATGCTGGACCCGTGAAGATCAGGGGTAGAATAGGTCTTCAGCAACCCATGCTTGCCGTAAAAGGCGACTATGCTTGTCGTAAGAGGCGACTAACGGGATCGGGTGGTCAGGCTCGCTGACTTGGTTGATACATGTCATCGTATTCCAATTGTGTGGATCGTTATGTTTTTTTAAGAATATTGAGATGACGTTTTAATGTAGAGGCGCTAAGTTTTTTTCTGTGGCCATCGACGTAGTTGATGAGTTGGAACAATTCCCCTGGATTTGTGCATGATTGTTTTCTGTCTAAAACGTGCATTTCGTTTCCTCAATTGCTAGGGGACATTGTGTGCAGCCCATTTCCGTAATGATTCTTGATTTTTGCTAAAAGCAGCGTAAAATCACACTCACTCACTCACTCACTCACTTAACGTACATGGTCGTTTCAACTCGACACAGCGGTAATTGATACTCAGTTCAGCGCAGACTGGGCCCCTGTCTATTGATATTCACCAAGAGTGACAAAATCAAAGTCTTGTACCGACTTGATGGTCAAAGGGGCGTCAGAGTTTACAGACCAAATATTTGTGAAGAGCTGTGCCTCTATTGGTCGTGGGTTATGGTCCTTGATCTGTCGATTGACGACGGGCCATTATCACGCGCGTTGTTATCTGACGTCAAAGGATAGGATAGGTGACGTCACGTTCAATAGTGACGTCATCTGGTTTGTTTTATGATGAATCCTTGAAAATGAATGAGACCAGCGCTAAGTCTTTCATAAGTATATGTTAAAGCATGGGAGTTACGATCATTTTAGCCATACGATCGTTTTGTGGAACGATGCCCCCGTGTTCGCGAAGAGGATAAGTATGTCCTGCCCTCCCGGAAGTATCCCCCACTCATCCATTTTGCATTAAAAAAGTGTTTGCTTGTTCCCTTGGGGTCGCAAAACCTAAGCCATCGCACGCGTGTTTCAAAGTTACACAACCAATCGCCCTTGGACATTATCTAGTTAATGGAACAACGCCGGTTGTCCTTTGTTAACGGAAGTTGAGTAAGGGAATGTGATCTATTAACTTTTAAAATATCTCTCTACAATGACATTTTCCTGATAACTAATTCCACGAATGGTCTTCAAAATTCGGATACGAGGGATTACAGGGAATATAACGCCAACACGTTTGTGTTCACGATGTTCAATTGACACACGACGTGTTCTACAGCAACAGGATACTTCAGTCCCCTGGAGAGTCACGTTTATGTCGGCAATCAAGGCGATCCGTCGCTGAGATTGCACAAGAGTTTTAATATTAAGGAAACCATGTTGAACGATTAGTGTGTTTTTTTCCGCGGATTATGAGCGATGTGTCATACACGATAATCATGTAGGCATGCCAGTCACCGAATACTGTACTCTGACATTCCACTCAGCAGAACGTTATGTTTAACACGGCTTGAACAGGATTGATTGATTGATTGATTGAGTATGGGTTTACACCGCTTTTAGCAATATTCCAGCAATATCACGGCGGGGGACACCAGATATGGGCTTCACACATTGTACCATGTCGGGAATCGAACCCGGGTCTTCAGCGTGACGAGCGAACGCTTTAACCACTAGGCTACCCGACCGCCCCTTGAACAGGATGGATGTTTGGTAATGTCCCACTTTGGTGAAACCCATGAGACAGGTATGATGCAAGGCAACGAAGAAGAATAATCAGAAGGAATATGGGATACGAACTTTAGGATATATGACCGTGTCCCACCTAAAGGGGGCGGTCGGGTAGCCTAGTGGTTAAAGCGTTGGCTCATCACGCCGAAGATCCGGGTTCGATTCCCGACATGGGTACAATGTGTGAAGTCCATTTCTGATGTTCCGCGTCGTGATATTGCTGGAATATTGCTAAAAGCGGCTTAAATCCAACTCACTCACTTACACTCCCACCTAAAGGGCCCAACTATTCACCTCATGTTTGCAAGTGGTAAAATAGAGATAATTACTAATCTTTAATGTTTAATCTGCCTCGCATTCTATACAAGGATGTGATGAAATCAGTTTCTTTTGTATGTTAGGTTCAAGGCCACTATGAACAGCAAAACAAATCATGAGAGAAAGCTCGAAGTATAATGGCACGTCTTTGACGTTTAACATATTGGCGACCGCCTCCGTGGTCTAGTGGTAGAACGTCCGCCCGGAGAGCGGAAGGTCCGGGGTTCGATCCCCAGCCGCGTCATACCAAAAGATGTACTTGTTGTTACCCTGCCTAGCACTCAGCATTAAGGGGCTGGTCGGCTCGGAGTCAGTATACTGTGTCTGAGTGGGGTATTCGTGTTAAACTGCAGCATGGTATCTCAGTGGGCTAGCACTATAAATCGGTTCGGACTACAACAAGCAGGCTGCACACACACGTGTGTGCACGTCGCGATATAAGTGCAATAATCTTGGACCCCATTTCACATCACCTTAAAGATTAACCACTTTTGGTATGATGAGTTATATGACAGGAATATATGCTTCATCTGCTATGCATGACCTTGGCCATGTTAAACTGCGCCATGGAATCTCAGTGAGCTAGCACTATAAATCGGCATCAGTCCGGACTAGTACAAGCAGCCACACACACACACACACACGTGCATGCACGTCGCTATATAAGTGCAATAATCTTGGACGCGTCGTTAATCCCAATTTCACCTCACATATTGGTGCTGGAAAACCAAGATTATCATAATCAAAGCGATTCTGGCACAGAATTCTCAGGATGCAACTCTGCACAGTGAATCGTAACCACTCAGGTGATTAGGTTTAGTTTGTACTTGAAAACATAGCAAAAATTGTAGCCGTAGACACTATGAACTAAATCTAATTTGTCCACACTTAGTTTTGGACTAGTTTAACGTGGTATCATGGGGAGAAAACGATCGGTCCTTACTTTTCACTTGTCTCCACCAGCAAACTGTTGGTGGCATCAAATCTTGCATAACCCTCAACTCAGCAATATTCCAGCTGTATGATTGGGGCGTGTAAATAATGGAGTCTGGACCAGACAATCCAGTGACTGATATTATGAACCATACTTGCAACTATATATCTAATAACCCAATCCATTAAGTTGCCTCTTCCAACAAGCGTTGGTAGCTGGGGACAAAATGTATTCAGAATCACTGGTTAAGTGGCACTATGGGTTTCAGCACCAGAGACCACATATAGTGGATGGAAGTAAATAAACACACAGATCAAAGACAGAAAACTAATGTTAGTATTTAAACAACTTTTTATTAATCCTGATTTTAGATCAAATGTATCATTGGACAAGCTTAGCACAATCTTTACATGTTATAGCTCTTTAGAAAGTGTATATTTTCTTAGTTGAAAGAACAATTAAGGATAAACTTCACAAAAAGATATAGAATGTCAGTAAAAGTAGCCGAAAAAACCCTCTTAAGGACTACTTTGAACACGTCGCCTGTGCGCATGCGCACTTGTATTTTCGTACATTTTATTTTATTGAATAGATATTGAGGTCAACTTTTCCAACAACGAAATCGACAAGAGACAGAAGTGTATTTTAAGGTTCAAAAACGGCTTGAAACTTTATCACAATGTTTCTATTTTCGCCACTTTTCAGATTCATAGGGCTGCTCTGGCGTAAAATGTAACGCTGTTGTCAGAACAAATGTTTCATTGGACAAGCTAAGCATAACCTGTACATGTTCTAGCTCTTTAGAAAGTGTATATTTTTTCAGTTGAAAGAACAATGCAGGATACACTTCACAAAAGATATAGAATGTCAGTAAAAATAGCTGGAAAACTCTCTTAAAGGGTTACTTTGAACACGTCGCCTGTGCGCATGCGCACTGGTATTTTCGTTTATGTTATTTTATTGAATAGATCATATTGAACTTTACCAACCAGTTTGTGACGTCACAGACGCCGTCACGGCAGGGCAACATCATACATCATACTCAACGCGTTTAATGATGTTTGTTTGTTTGTTTGTTTGTTGTTTAACGCCGCACTCAGCAATATTCTATATGACGGGGGTCTGTAAATAATCGAGTCTGGACTAGACAATCCAGTGACTGACATCATGAGCATCGACCCATGCAATTGGAATTCGTTGACATGCATCAACCAAGTCAGCGAGCCTGACCATCCGATCCCGTTAGTCGCCTGTTGCGACAAGCATGGTCGCCTCTTACCGCA